CAGTCCATGCTTACAAAATATTTGCACCAGGCAAACTGTATGCCTACAGTGAAGGGATCTGGGGATTAGAATTTAAATTATTGTTGGAAAAGGCTTTTGAGAGAAAGCATGCTGGCTCTTATGAATGCATCACAACTGATGCACAATCGAGTTCTTGCTGGTCCTCGTAGCCAATAAAAACAAGGGTAATTTTCCCCCCAAAATGTGTCATGAAAGAAGATTAGAGAGAAAGTTGTTGGTGTTACCAAGTCGACCCACTCACAGTTCTCAAAGTAAAACTTATGGAAATCCATTCCTTCAACGAGGTTCCCCAGTGCTTCAGGTTCAAATGAGGTCAAGCCAGGATCACAGATTTTTCTGCAAAGAAGAGCACCACAGGCTTACAGTCTGCCTTTAAGCCCAAAGGCTACTTATGCAATGAAGTGCTGGTATGGCATTTGACTCACACCCTGTGTCCACCTAACTGTTTCCCTACTCCAAGGACTAAGTTCCTGGAAGACTCAGCCCTACTGCAACAACATGGAGTTGGTGCTAGTTGGCATTTCACATAAAACAAGTCTCTAGGTTTCCGGCTTTCCTTTTATTCTCTGTCTGCCCATCTCACTGCCCTCCCCCCTACTTTTTTTAAGAAGCCAGGACATTTTCCTTTTGTCGCTCCTGTTGCTGTTTGATACCCGACTTCTACTTCATGTTCACTTAAAGAGCTCTACCATAACCCCACCCCTAATTGACAGAGGCTAAAAAGCATAAAACTTTTTACCGTTCCTGACAACTCTTCATAGCCAGGAGCCAGAACATCACTTGCACACAAACAGATAAACAAGCTGTCAAAAGACATCTGTACTTACGTATAAGCATCAAAGTCTCCATTGTTGATGGCTTCTATCAGCTGCTCTGTTATCTTAATGATCTCTTGCTTACGCACTGCGAACAAGAAGAAAGAGCAATTTAACTGTGCATAAGACTTCAATGGGAACATGGGGCTAGTGGGTGCTTCCTACAAGCAATTTGTGGAGCACTGTTAGTCTAGATCTTATAGGATGCTGCTCCCTGCATTCTGGAGATATGCAGTAATGAGAGTCATCCACATGAGAGTAGGGGGGCAGTGGTATGAAAGGGGAATGGTGATCCCATAATGCAGGGAGAAAGGAAATAAAGATGTTATATTCCTTTTTTTCCTCTTCTAGAAAGGTCTAAGGCACCAGAGTGGTCTCCTGAATGACTGGGGAGTCTGACCAATGAATGTCAGTGAACCTGCCAATGTCAAGCACTTGTCTGGCAGCTTAAGATGTGGAAACCCTTCACCACAGTAGGCATATACAAATGGCCACCACGCAAAGCAAGTCAATTGGAAAAAGTCTCCCAACAACGTGCCTGTCACCATCAGCAATACCTCAGCTATTACGAATGCTGCAAACAAGCAACTGGGACATGTAGGGATGACTTCCGCAAGCTAGAAAGACAACCGCAGCAGGATGGATGGGTTGGATGAGCAGGTCCTAGCTATGTACTGGTGTGCATTCTGTTCCTCAGGCAGTTAGCTTCTGCCAATCCCTATGGCACAATTCTTTTCAGCACTCTGACAGCACTGCCATTAACCCAACACAGTGCACTGGACTTCAAGATGAATGAAGACTGGGGCTAGCTGTCTACGCTTATTTGAGCCCGCTCTGGCCAGCACCTCTGCACTCTCTTCTCTTGGTTTCCCACAGCCGACTGCCCAGGCCCCATCCCCTCTGCGGTGTTCCATCACCCATGCTGATCTCAAGAATCCTAAACACTCGCAAAGTTTGGGTCGGCTCTGTTAAATAAAACAATTCTAGTTCTATGACTATATGTGCACCATGTATATGCCTGAGTCTGTATGCACACCCTCACATCTCTTCAGCCTTCCCCACACTTTCACTCTAGGTAGAATATCTGGCACATTATACAAGCACTTAAGAGGTGCTCTAGCATTATCTTCAATGTTACCAACTAATTTACAATTCCTAGCATCAGAAGTGGAATTTATCTGCCCTTAGGCATCTAAAATGTAGGTGTTTGAAATGGAACCAATCACCTGACTTCCTCCTTTAGGCCCTGGAAGAAATAGGCACTTCTGGAAGTCTCACCTGAGGCATCTGAGATGCCTGTCATTAGAGGGATGGTGTTTAAATCTAACCTACTATCTTTAGATGTCCAAGTCAGGGAAGCTGAATTCCACTCTAAATGCCAGAAGATGCTAGTCTGAACTGCCTTCCCCTGTAAACTTTCATCCACGTGTGCATCTCATCCCACCATTGATAAATACAGATGAAGACCAACAAGATGATAATCTCACTGGCTATGAAAGATGTTTGCACCCACTCTGGAAATCAATTATGAGAAGTAAACTACCAGCCAGCCACAGAAACATCTCAGATAGGGAACAACTGGCTCATAATAGTAAGGGAGCTTGTTTTGCCACTCAGGCTGTATACATTTCCACACATTGAAATATGTATACAGTGACTAGATCAAAATACCACAGTGGTCTGTCTATTGTGAAAAATGCCTTTATAAGCAAGTCATCCAGAATTGCTTCTGCATGAAGCAGGGCTACTTGTTGGACCTCCCTCTCTTGCAGAGCACACACAAATGTGTGCAATGTCTGGAAGATGGACTCCATGGGAAAGGCTGTCCACTTGGGATGAGCGAGGAAATCTGCAGACCATGAGTGCTGACTCGTCTCAAGGAGACTTGCACCCCCCTTCCAAGAGTCACTATGCAACAGCACCGACCCTGTCCTTTAACACAAGTCCATTCCATCAGACTGTGCTCGTCTTCTTGCTTTTACTACATGTCCCGAGCTACAACCAGCACACAGGAGGTGACCTGTTTTCCGATGGACGGAGAGCCTCGGGATGTCACACGGGAAAGCATTCGTGCCTGCCACCCCCGATGAATCCACGGGGCCCCTTAACTTACACCGCAGAGGAGCAGAGAAGGGGGACATGCACGCACCAGCACAGATACAAAGTGCGACTCACGGCTATTCCTCTGCCTCGTCCGAGCACCCCGAGAGGCAGCGCTGCTGCAGCAGTCGGGCCAGCGGGAGGCCGCAGCCGGGCTACGGCAGCACTTGTAGCGGAGCTCGGATTGAACACCGGGGCAGAGCTTGCACCCGGGCTCTCCTCCCCGGCGGGACGGCTTTGGGGCGCCCCCGCTCCCCCCGCGGCACCGCGGTGCCCCCCGGCGGCC